CTCCTGAGTTCAGGCAATTCTCCTGCCTCAGCCTCCTGAGTAGCTGGGATTACAGGCACGCGCCACCATGCCCAGCTAATTTTTTGTAGTTTTTTTTTTAGTGGAGACGGAGTTTCACCATGTTGACCAGGATGGTCTTGATCTCTTGACCTCGTGATCCACCTGCCTCGGCCTCCCAAAGTGCTGGGATTACAGGCGTGAGCCACTGCGCCTGGCCAATAATTTTTAAGACTACAAAAGCATCCTAAGATTTCAGAGTATGGGAGCTGCTGACTGGGAGGGCATGGTTGCCACAGTGAAATTGGTGCTCTAACTGACCAGAGTCCACTCCAGAGTCTTCGGAGGGAGCTGGGATATGGAGAGGTAAAATTTCCCTTTCAAAAAAAATATTTGTTTTTCTTGTTTTTTTCTGAGACAGTCTCTCTCTGTCACCCATATTGGAGTGCAGTGGCGTGATCTCTGCTCCTGCAACCTCTACCTCCCGGGTTCTAATGATTCTCCTGTGTCAGGCTCCCGAGTAGCTGGGATTACAGGTGCACACCACCATGCCTGGCTAATTTTTGTATTTTTAGTAGACATGAAGTTTCACCATCTCGGCCAGGCTGGTCTCAAAACTCCTGACCTCAGGTGATCCACCCAACTCTGCCTCCCAAAGTGCTGGGACTACAGACATGAGCCACGGTGCCTGGCCTTGTTTTTGTTTTTTAAGAAACAGGGTCAATCTCCAACTGGGCTCAAGCAGTTACCCTACCTCAGCCTCCCAAGTAGCTGAGACTACAGGTGTGTGCCACCATGCCTAATTTTTTCTTTTCTTTTTCTTCTTTTTTTTTAAAGGTGTAAGCCAATGAGCCTGGCCTCATTTTGTATTTTTTGTAGAGATGTGGGTCTTGCTATACTGACCAGGCTGGTCTAGAACTCCTGGGCTCAAGTGCTCCTCCCACCCTGGGCTCCCAAAAGGCTAGGATTACAGGCATTAGCTACTGCACCTAGCTTTTTTCGTTTGTTTTTGTTTTTGAGACAGGTTCTCACTGTCACCCAGGCTGGAGTGCAGTGGTGATCATGGCTCACTGCAGCCTTGAATTCCTGAGCTCAAACAATCCTCTGGCCTCAGCCTCCTGAGTAGCTATAACTACAGGTGCAAGCCTGTTTTTTATTTTTATTTTATTTATTTATTTTTATTTTTGGTAGAGACAGGGTCTCATGGTGGCTCCTGCCTGTAATCCAAGCACTTTGGAGGCCAAGGCGGGCAGATCACCTGAGGTCGGGAGTTCAAGACCAGCCTGACCAAAATGCTGAAATCCTGTCTTTAAAAATAAAAATAAAAAATAAATAAAAAAAGAGACAGGGTCTCACTATGTTGCCTAGGCTGGTGTGGAACTCCTAGACTCAAAGTGATTATTCTGCCTCGGCCTCCGAAAGTGCTGGGGTTACAGGTGGGAGCCACTGCGCCCAGCCCGAGGGGTGAGTTTTCAAGAGCTGAGAAGGCGGACCAGGCCCTTTCCTTAGCCGACTTGTATACTCGGTATCCCACAGTCCTGCCCAAGCCCTCTCAAGCTGGACACATCACCCCACAGCCCTGCCAGCACAGACTCAACGTGCTGGTCACCGCTACGGAGAGTTTCTGACGTCCGTCGCCCAGGGTCCCTAACACCTCACCAGCTGAGCATGCTCCCAGTCCAAGCTGAGCATCCCCAGCAAAAGCTAAGGAGTCCAAGCACACACAGCCTTCAACTCAGCTCGGAAATAACTTTCTGAATGCGTTTTAGAAAATGACACATGAGAATGCCTTAAGAGCAACCTCTTAACTTCTCTTGTGGGGATCAATTTGGATGACAGTATTGAACTAAGAAAGTGGCTCTCAACACTGGGCAGATCACCACACCTCTTGGTACTCAGCCCCCACGACGTGGTGCTGTTTGAGGTCCTGCACCCGCTGGAGATGGTGTGTGGTGGGAGGGGCTCCAGGGGGTGCTGGAGTTATGCTTTTCTGTTTGGAAGACTTTAGGCTTCTTGTGGCCTCTTGGAGTTCAGCAGGGCCTTAGAAAGCCTCTCCCAACCACAGAGACATGCTGACTGGCTTTCCTGATGATGACGATTTGGCCTCATCTTGGACATGTGCAGTAATGGGGTGCTCACTACCTCTCAGGAGGTTCATTCCGCCAGGGCCGGGAAGCCTCCCTCCCCCTGCAGGTGGGCCTCCCCTGTGCTGGTCAGCTCTGTGGTGTGTGTCACAGGACACAGAGATGATCCCGCAGGGCCTCCCGGAGTCTACACCTGGAGGAAGAGAAGCTGCCTGTGCGGGTAGGTGGGTGGAAGCCCCGCATGCAGCAGGAAGACCCCATCGAAAGCCCGTGGGCACAGCCTGTGAACAGACCCCCAAGAGCAAGAACACCAGAAGACGCAGGTGGAGGGTAAGGCCAATCAGCGGGTCTGGAGTTGATTCCAGGTGAACAAGGAGGCGCCGCAGGATTTTAAGCAGGAGAGCCACAAAGGATGAACTCTGGGGTGCAGCTGGGGTGGGAATGACATCAGTGATGGCAGCAAAGAAACGGGTCCGAGACCCTTGCTGCAGAAGGAGCCGCCAGCCTTGCCCATGCCCAGGGATGGGATGCGGGTCGGAGGGTGAGCCCGGGGCTCTGGCGGGAGCCATTGAGGGTATGAAGGTGTCACTGCTCGGGTGGGGAATGGGGGGCAGATGTGAGAAAATCCAAGAGTGCCGCGTAGGTCAGGCAAAGTGCAGGGTCCCCATCTCCTCCATCCCAGGGTGAGCACGAGATCCCGCTCCGAGCGACTCGCCTTCCCTCCTTGGCCTGGGGAACGCTTCTGGAGGCGGGAACACGCCCCTGCAGGAGGCGGCGGCCGAAGGCCGAGGAGGGTGCGGGGCGGCCGCGGGCCCCGAGCGAGGCGAGACCAGCCCCGGGCGGCCCAGCCCGCCCGCCCGCGCGCCCGCTCACCTCCAGCGCCTGGCCCAGCTCCAGGTCGAAGGTGACCACGCACACGCACTCCAGCCAGGCGGAGAAGCGCGCCCAGGGCGCCGGGGGCCGCGCCGCGCGGCACGAAGACCCAGGCCCGGCGGCGCCCAGGCTGCGAGCCCGCCGTGGCCCGGCGCCCGACAGCGCGTCCATGGCGGCGGCCGCGGGTTGCCCGGGGAACGCGGGCGGGGGCGGGGCGCGTCGGGACCGCGCCTCGGAGCAGTCGAGCGGCCGCCGCGGCCCAGAGCGGCCCTGCCGCGGCCTCGCGCCCCCTAACGCCGGAGAAGCGCCAGCGACCGGCCGCGGCCCAGAGCACCAGCGAGCAGGGCGCGCGCGGGCTAGAGCGGCCGGAGCGCGCTGGAGGACTTCCGCGGAGGCCGCCGCCGCGGAGCCTTCCGCTCCCCGCCCCGTCCGAGGCTGCGGAGCGTTGCGGCGGCCCCGGGACTCGCGGCTCGTCGGAGCCTCGCGGCCAGACCGGTGAGGCAGAGCAGGCCCGGAGCTGGTGGGTGCCGGGCCCGCCGCGCTTCGCAGGTCCGGCCTGTCCGCCGCGCAACGGCGTCGCGGGCGTTTTCGTGGCGGCATGGCGTCCTCACCGAGCGCCCGGGCACCGCAGCGGACCCCTGCCCGCTTCCCTGGGGCCGGCGCGGCGGGGGATCGGGTCTGACCCCGGGTGTCCGCGCGGCCCCGCTGCAGTGTAACTTTCCGGGGGAATCGCGGGGGCCTGCAGCGAGCCCTTCCCCCGCTCACGGGGCCCCTGGGCCCCGCTGTGGTCCGCAGAGCCCCTGCCTCTGCACCTCGGCCCGGCGTGGAAGGGCCAGTTTGGGGCTGTCGGTCACTCAGCGAGGCTCGCCTTTGAGTCGTGGGCCTCGTGACGCTTCCCCGGAACGCGGGCCGCACATACTGTGCCGGGCCCTGCAGATGACTACGTGTCGGCCGGGCGCGGTGGCTGACGCCTGTCATCCCACCTCTTTGGGAGGCCGAGGAGGTGGGGTGGCAGATCACGAGGTCAGGAGTTCGAGACCAGCCTGACCAACATGGCGAAACTCCGTGTCTACTAAAAATGCAAATATTAGCCGGGCGTGGTGGCATGCACCTGTAGTCCCAGCTACTCGGGAGGCCGAGGCCGAAGAATCGCTTGAACCCAGGAGGGGGAGGTTGCAGTGAGCCGAGATGGCGCCATTGCACTCCAGGCCGGGTGACAGAGGGAGACTCCATCTCTAAATAAATAAAAGATTACCACGTGTTGTTCGGATCATGTGGCCTCGATGTGAGTAGGCTGTCCCATCTAGGTTTGTCGCACAACAAAATCGCCCAATGACACATTTCTTAGGACATAACTTCACCATTAAGCAGCACATGGCCATATTGGTTTTTTGTTTGTTTTTGGTGTTTGTTTGAGACAGAGTTTTGCTCTTGTCCAGGCTGGAGTGCAATGGGACAGTCTCGATTCACTGCAACCTCTGTCTCCTGGGTTCAAGTGATTTTCCTGCCTCAGCCTTCCAAGTAGCTGGGATTACAGGCACACGCCACCATGCCCCCATTATGTTTTTTATTTTTATTTTTTTTGAGAGATGGGGTCTCACGTTACCCAGGCTCATTTTCGTTTCTCTTGGGCATACATAGAAACCAAATTGCTGAGGCATAGCCTGGGTATATGTTTAGCTTTCCCCAAAGCAGCCGTACGTTTAAAAACATTCCTACCAACAGTGTGTGAGTGTTTTGTTTGCTCCACATCCTTACCAACAACTGGTATGGCCAAGCGTCTTTATTTTAGTCAGTCCAGTGAATGGGTAATGGTATCTCGTGATTTTTAAAATTTTATTTTGTAGAGAAGAGATCTCATCCTGTCACCCAGGCTAGAGTGCAGTTATGTGATCATAGCTCACTGCAGCCTGAAACTCCCATGCTCATGGGATCCTCCCACCAGCTGCAGCTGCAGGCGTGTGCCACTGCACCTGGCCATTACTGTGGTTTTAATGTGCATTTCCCTGATTACAATGGTCTTGAGCATTTTCTTTTTCCATGCTTTTTGCATGCCATCATTATAAGATGTATTCTGATTTTGAGGTAGGAGGCAGAACTTTACTCCAGAGCAGATTAAACACTGCCTGAAACAGGGAAGAGGCAAAAGTGCCTCTCCATGAGACACGCCCACCAGTGCCATTTCCCCTTACCATTGCCATGACAGTGCCCACAAGTTATTGCCCTTCTCATGATAACCACCCCAAAGTTACTGCCCTTTTTCTAAAACGTTCTGAATAACTTGCACCTTAATTTGTATATAATTAAAAGTAGTTGC